AGCTTGCGGATCAGCAGCTCGGTGGACTTCTGGTAGCGCCGGATCTCGCGCAGGGCCACCGTGCCGGGCCGGTAGCGGTGCGGCTTCTTGACGCCGCCGGTGGCCGGCGCGCTCTTGCGGGCCGCCTTGGTGGCCAGCTGCTTGCGCGGGGCCTTGCCGCCGGTCGACTTGCGGGCCGTCTGCTTCGTGCGAGCCATCACAGAAAAAAAAAAAAACAGCTAGGGGAAAAGGCTAAGCTGACAAGCTGGCCTGAAGACGTTGCCTTTATATATACTCAGAAACCTTCTGATTGGTCTTGCATTTTTCAAAAGTCCCGCGCAATAAAACCATTGGCTAAAGAGCGAACGACGTGATTGGTGGATTATTACAGACTCCGATTGGATGAATTAGTCAACATTCCAATCCCGTCTTTGTTATAGTCAGCGATCCAAGAACTTAATATTCTGCTTCAGCTCATCTCAAATTCTAAATAAATCACCTGGGGATCGGAGAAGATGCCAATTCTGGAAACCTACGTAATGGGGCCTAAGATTCCGACGGTCAGGCTTTCAGAACTTACGTATATTTTGTTTTCTCAGATGGTTACTTTTACTGAACTGGACCTTGAGTCGCCTGGACTGCCCCTTATCTCCACTCCGGGAAACCACAGGTAAAACGCCTGGCCCGGAGACGGCGGGCGATCACCACTGTGCAACAAAGGGTGACTGACTTCCCTATGGTGGCCAGATAGTATTATGATTCATTCAATTCAGCTTTGAAACAGCCCGCGCGGACTTCCGGTCCTATAGTTCTGCTTGTAACGTCCTCAGGCATTCCAGGCTACCACCCCTTCCACAGCGGCTCAGTTAACTACCCCCTTACTGCTGGTTTCCGTGCTCTAAATGTTCTCACTTCCTAAACACGATTGAAGGAACACGGAGTGAACCTGTCCACCTAGAAACAAGGTTTTGTAAACGTTACCATTATTGTAACTAGGTCTCACCTGTATTAAACCCTTGCTTACCATGCACTAAGGTTTTTCTGTGTAAGTCGTTTCCCTGGGCCACCTTCAAAGTGACGTTAAACAGCGAAGATAAACCGCAGTAAGTGAACTGTTTTTTGACCAACCACAGACTAACCGCTTAAAGCTTATGTAATGGGAAAGGACTTATTTGGTTACAAGCTTATTTATGTGAAAATGTGGACGGCTCTGAAAAGAGCCTTTGGGTGAGGAAGAAGGTTTTAATTGGACACACCGGTATTCAAATAGGTTCACTTGCCCTTGGCCTTGTGGTGGCTCTCGGTCTTCTTGGGCAGCAGCACGGCCTGGATGTTGGGCAGGACGCCGCCCTGCGCGATGGTGACGCGGCCCAGCAGCTTGTTGAGCTCCTCGTCGTTGCGGATGGCCAGCTGCAGGTGGCGCGGGATGATGCGCGTCTTCTTGTTGTCGCGCGCCGCGTTGCCCGCCAGCTCCAG